GACCAATTAGAACTCGACTGTAACTTACTCCACGACAGCGGTATACTCTATAGAAATTTATTCTCTGCTTTATTTGAGTACTTGCAACTTTATACGACTATTGCATGTAAATAATTTTGAAGTCAGATAAATTATTGTTTTGAGTTGTTTCCATTGAAATATTTTTCAAAAACTCCTTCCCTCTAAAATCATAGTAGTACATATATAATGCGTACTTTTATTCAAAAACTGATTTTATCTATTTAAAAAAAAGAATGTTCTGAATTTTTTCGCGCCTATATGTCTGTATGCAGTGCAATACTGTCGTTAGTCGTAGCTTTAATCAGTCACAGTGAGAGTTCATTACTGCGCTTGTGACGGAGGAGTGAGGAGGCAATTTCACGCAGCCGGCGAACTGATTGCAAACAAACAACCTCACCTCTTACCTACTATGAATAAGAACTGAATCACCTTTCAACTAACCTGTAACTTTGTTTTAGTATGAAACAAGAACGAATAATACTAGGGTAACTTTGAAAGATATAAATGAAAGCCGTATTGAATTAAATGTTTCGAATGTTGTTCATCTTTTTTTCTAAATAACACAGGTTTATAAGACAAGATCCCATCAGGAATCCATTTGATAATGTAAAGCTGAGTCGCTTAACAGTGGCAATTACATCCCGCAACAATAATATTTGTTGGGGGCGCGAATAGGCCTGGTCCACCGGTGAAATACCACGGCTACAAAGAAGACTGACGAGAAGTGAAAAAAGAAAAAGGTATGTTTTAAATATGTTTATAGTTATGAAGTTACCTTATAACGTTGTAATGAAGCTTGCGCGATGCCCTGCGACTCCTGAGAAGGCTTTTAGACGTTCAATGCCGCGGCTCATTCCATCAAACTGCTTAAGTTTTTCACTATGGTTATTTATACTTTCCCTGCGAATTAAATTACGTATCGTACAATATATAAATAAAATAGATAGCACTGAATAGAAGACATGAATTACTGTTTAAAATTTAGCCTAGTTTGTCGAAGGAATCACAAAATTAACAACAACAATATGTAAAAATCATTTTCTTAATTTTATTAAAATTGGACTAAAACCCAGTGCAATGTAGGCGAAAACCTTATTCACAGTTAACCTATAAACTTGAACGCGATCGAATATTTTAATTAATGACCCTTGTGCCATCACTGATTTAAACATTCGATAGAGCTATTCATTTTTCACAATCGGCAGCTTTCCAAACTGTTGAACTATTATAATTGGAACATCATTTGATTCTTTGTTTTTAATCATAATTAAAAATTAAACCACCACGAACTAAATTCACTTAGAATAATTGAAAATATAAAATTAAAAACTATGAAATTGATAACAAGTCTTACTAATTACGTATAACGTTTTCAGATACCTGCTAAAGAATTTCTTAATTCCCAACAAAGACATCATTCTTCTTGTATAAATTACGAATATCCATTTCCTTTAATAATGTATCGAAGCAATTTGGCAAGGCTTATGTAAGGGAAATTCGTGTGGAAGAATAAATTTTCCGCTTCGTGTATCACACGATGGAAGCAATTTTACATCCCAGGAACTGACGCAACCGCGATTAATTGCAAATATCTACTTTGAAGACATATTATAAAATACTAAATAATAAAAGCAAGATACTTAAAGAAATAACTTTTTTATTATAATTAAATTCCATCGGATAAAAATAAACTGAATATTTATAGCAAATTTGTGCGATGACCTATTTATTTTTAATCTAAGTCTGAAGTCCCATTTAGTCCGTGCAGCCACCGATTGGATTGCACAGTTAAAATTTAATTTCCTGATAATATTCCTACTGCTTGCGATTTCCAATACTTTCCCCTTCAACTGGTTTAACTTATTCAACAATAAGTTTTTCTTAAATAGTTTATTTTTCAGTATACCTTCTAGTTTAAAAATTAATTCCTGGTTTACTTAATGGGTCGTTACACTTTTTTACATTTCTAAAACAAACTTTCGTTTTTTCGGGTCTTTTAGGTTTAAGTACAAAACAAAAGATTTAAAAAGCAGCCAAGAGATGGCGCTAACTTAACTTTCAGAGCAGCAGTGTCGTTTATTTATTTTATATTAAGGCAATGAAAATAATAATCAAAAATTGTTAGTTATGATCTATGAAAAAACAAGTGTCATATTAAGACCTAAAAACCATTATTTTAAAATAAGAGAAAATTAAACAAACATTACAACTACAGCAACATTTATTTGAATATATAAATAATATATTTTAATATACACATTTTTTTTGTATAAAGCACATTACTTCTTGTACAAAATGTTCAGCAACTTTGGGCAATGAATAATAATAAAGTTATCATTTTTATGTCGCCTATATATAAACATTTCCTATATATTGAAAATATAAATTATGACATAGCTCCGATATTCTATGGCTGGAAAAAAGATCAGGTGTTGTAAATATCTGTGATGAGTCCTGCTGCAATTGTGACTCCCGCAACTCTCAGCATCACCCGTCCTAGTTCTTTAACATCTTTGTACCTCTCAATGCAAATCGGCCTGCATACCTCGATATCAACAACAGCTACTGAATTATTTCCTAAACAACGAGGTTTCTTTTTCAATACTTCACCAGTACTCTTATTTAATAATGCTTTTAATTTTACAATATTAGCAGATTCTACCAATGATTGGTGGTGTATCAGAACAGGGTAACCTTTTGTTATAGGTACTCTAACATTAAACACTACCAATCTCGCTTCAAATCTTGAGCTGACTGGTACTTGCTGTACAGGATCACTCAGTACAAAACCAACTGCAACATTCTGTATATCAACTCCTGACAGAGTGACACTAACTTGATCTCCCGCAAATGCAACATTACTAGACAAGTCATTGATACTTATACCTTTAACTTCAGCAATTTCTTTGATAGGACAAACAAGTACTTTATCACCTTTATTTAAAACTCCATTTTCAATACGACCAGCAACACAAAATCCTGTTCCGGTACCTTTGAATATATCATTTATTGTAATTCGTAATGGCTTTGCAACTGGCCTGACTGGAACATGGCATTGATCGATAACATCTAAAAGGCAAGGTCCTTTGTACCATTTGCATAGCACCAACTCTGTTGGAGGTTTTACGAGATTTTCACCAGTCAAACCAGAGCAAGGTACAAATGTGACATCAGATTCCTTGAATCCAGCTTGTTTTAAGAATAACTTTAATTTCTTGAGTATTTCATTAAATCTTTCCTCTGACCAATTGGTTGTGTCAAGTTTGTTAACTGCAACGGTAAGCTGACTAATACCTAAAGACCTAACTAACAAAGCATGCTCTCTTGTTTGTCCTCCGAGTTCAAATCCGGATTCAAACTCTCCTCTTGTGGCATCAACTACCAAAAGAGCAACATCTGCTTGTCCTGCCCCAGTTATCATGTTAGGTATGAAATCAGCATGCCCGGGTGCATCCAGAATAATGACCTTCTTTGACTTTGTTTCAAACTGTGCTCTCCCCACATCCATTGTGATACCTCGCACTCTTTCTTCTCCAGTTTCGTCCAAAACCCAAGCGTACATGAAACTTTGCTTACCAATCTTTTTACTCTCCTGTTCATATTTATGTAAAGTTCTTTGACTTACTTCTCCTAATTCGCAAAGCAGTCGTCCCATAAGTGTTGATTTTCCTGCATCTACATGTCCAATTACAACTATGTACAAATGATCTTTCTCTGAGCCCCTTTCAGTAGAATATTGTTTATTAGGGTCTATTTTTTCTTTTACTTTGCTAGGTATTTGATTTATCCTTTCGGTGGCAGGGGACTGGTCCCTGGGCGTTTGGGGTCGACTTCCAGGGCCCCCATCTTGTTCAACCTTAAAACCTTTTATAATTCCAACTTTTGGCTCTACATTTATTGCAATCACCTTAGGAGTTTTATCAACATTTGTGATAACTGGTTTAGCTGATTCGATTAATACGACAGGCGGAGGCTTTGATATAACTTTTTCAGTTTCTTTGTCTTTGTTTTTATTTCTGTTTAAGATTTCATCTAAAGCCTTGGCAAAGTCAAATTTGTTATTGAGCACTGTTTGAATTAGCACATTTTCGGATACAGTATCACCTAATATATCTCGCAGTTCATCTAAACACGATAATAGCTTTGCCTCTTCATCGTCCGTAAGGGCTAGATTTCGAATATCTGTAGACTCGCGTCGTTCTTGTGCTGGCCCTGTTTGCTCTGCCGTATCTTCCTCTACCTCTTCTTGAATATCATCGTGGCTATCTAAGAAACTTGAAATTGCATGATGGTTCCGAGACCGATCATATATCCACTGTGATGTATCGCTTGGTGACAAACAGCTGTCTTCTTCAACTGAATGTCCATAAACGTCGTCGTAATCATAATCGTCAGAGTCTCTCCTATTCCTTATATTGCGGTGCCTGGCCATCTTTGTGATCGATCGATCGATTAAATGCAATTAGTATATGAAAACATAGTTCTAACGGTAATGCAATTATTAGGAAAAATCCACACGCTTCCTTCAACTTCCAATGACATTTGATAATCACTTGTGTACCTGACACTGACATTTGATGACAAATCAGTGTAAATAAGAAAAGTTTCCATTCTATGCAAAGTTAAAATGTGAAGTGGATTGCAATGTACAACTAATTACTATTAAATACTTGAAATATTTGGTTTAAAGTTTGAAACCAAAACAAAAAAATGAAAACTTACGAAGTATATAACGATAAAGAAACAGGGTGTATATCATTTTAAAACTTCTCACTTTTACAGTCATCATTATCCTTTTTTTTAATCGATCTAATTAGGTCGGAAGCAAGTAAATAATAGCTAAAAAATTGTTTTAAAATATTTTTCTAAAGCCCTTGATTTATCTACCTTTAATTAACATAGTGAATTTATTTACAATCTTCAAAATTAAGTATGTCTTTCATTGTGACTTGATTGTGACATTGACTTGGTCTGTTATTGTGTCACTTCTGTGTCTTTGATACCCTACTATATTGGAATTGGATATTTGTCGTTGTTCTTGAAGTGATTAGGAAATAGGAATTTTACACTTCGCTACGCCTACTCATATTGCTTTATACGTATATAAATATTCTGAATTACAGATAAATAAAAGGAAAAAAATCATATTGGTAAAAGTAAAGAAGTAAAGAGTTAAAACTGCGTTTAATTGAAATCAACAAAGTTTGAGTTTCCTTTATTGTTTGAACCTTAGCCAACACCATTACTACTATGAAGAAAAAGGTATTATCAAACTGACAATTATCACATTAAATAATAAACCATTTGACCAAAATAAAAACAAACTTGATAAAACTGTTTCAGGTACTGTTAATGGGGAAGAGTGGCTCGGGGAAAACGAGCATGAGATCCATAATTTTTGCCAACTACATAGCCAGGGACACTAGACGATTGGGTGCCACAAGTAAGTAATGTTGTGAATAATAATCTTTTAAGTGGAGTTAAAATTAAACACTATACATTGTAATATTGAACTGTAGTAGCTTGAAACTATGTAAAGAATGTTATAATTCCTTAATTATACTTTGATATTAAGTAAAATATAATTAATTTGTATCTTATGTATTTCAGTTGATGTTGAACACTCACATGTCAGATTTCTTGGCAATTTAGTGCTTAACTTATGGGATTGCGGAGGACAGGAGGCATTTATGGAAAACTATTTTGCATCTCAGCGAGACAATATTTTCCGGAATGTTGAAGTTCTCATTTATGTATTTGATGTGGAGAGTAGAGAAATGGAGAAGGACATGCATTATTACCAATCATGCTTGGAAGCTATTTTACAGGTAAATAGGCTTTCAAAAAGATATCAGCTTTTTAAATGTTCAACATAAAAAACATCCTCAATATTGTTTCCGTCACTTGCTGAATTGACATTCATAGTAAATGATTGTAGTAGAATGTAATGTGTTAATACTTTTATTGGTTGTTTTTGTTTTGTAGAACTCTCCAGAAGCGAGAATATTCTGTCTTGTACACAAAATGGATCTTGTAGCAGAAGAAAGAAGAGAAGAAATATTTAAAGAAAGGGAAGAAGATTTAAAAGGTCTTTCAAAACCACTTGAATGCACATGTTTCAGAACTAGTATATGGGATGAAACTTTATACAAGTATGTTACTGTTGATTAATTCTTAATTGGTTTATATAAGCTGAAAACCATTTAAAATATTATTAATTACTAATATTATAAATGGGAATGTTTAGATGGATGGATGGCTGATTGTTTGAAGATATCTCCAGAATTGGTGCATATTGCCAAAATTTGTCTTAGATGTAGAACACAGTCTAGAAAAACAAATAGGCTACAAATTAAGTTTTTCTAATTATGCTCGGATGGTGTCGCAGGCAACAGCTAGTATAGTATAAATAAGATTTAATTGTGGTAGCCCTATATATACTATATATGTTCAATGAACATATACTTAGATAGTTATAAATATTTCTAGATAATGTACAGTGAGTGATATTGTTATGTTTACATTACTCAGTAACCAATGTACTTTGAACTCTACATATCAAGTTGCAAATTTTATTGCATAGCAATTAAATTATATTCAAATGACTCTCGTAATATTATATTATGTAAATAATATGTCAACTTAGTAATTTTAACAATTTAAAAACTAATTTTATGCTTTTCTTCTATCTTTGTTAAAGTCTACTTCAAGATTTTATTGTATTGGTTTCAGAGCGTGGTCCAGCATTGTGTACAAGCTAATACCTAATGTAAAAGCATTAGAATCATCTTTGAAGCAATTTGCTGCTATTGTTGATGCAGACGAAGTAAGTAACATAATTTAAGCCAAATTAATTATTTACAACAAATAGACATATATAAGAAAATAGATATATATAAGAAAAGAGAAATGTTGATTTAACCTCTAGCACCTTATAAGTAGACTGTTACGTTATCGATACCTAAAATGTTATTATAAAAGTACACATTTGACTCCTATATTGGTGTAATGACGCAAGGTGCTGCTGTTTGAGCGCGCGACGTTCCTGGTGGTGTCGCACTGCCAGCGGCGGCAACACCGCGACGCGCACCGCTTCGAGAAGGTCTCCAACATTGTGAAGCAGTTTAAGCTCTCCTGCTCCAAGCTCGCCGCGCAGTTCCAGAGCATGGAGGTTTGTATATTGGAGGTCTAACAGTGGGAGACAGCAACAATATCTATCACACTAATGGGCTAACTCTCCTGCTGCAATACCACGACCACACAGAAGACAGGTGTCAAGCGGAAGTCATTCTGCGTACAGTCTGATGAGTCCCCTTTCGTTCCTTTCTCATGCTTTACTTTTAAGGGAAGTGGATTTGATGGACGCCGAGTGGCATAAGAAGGGGCAATATTCTCTTTCTGTGCATCCCATATCAAAGTTAAAACTCTATCAGAATTAAACTAAGATAAAATCTATAAAAAGTTATCGCAACTAAAATACTACTCCGAATTTTTTTAATACAATAAAATGCGAAAAACATTTTTAACAGGTACGGAACAGCGTTTTTGCAGCTTTCATCGACGGCTTCACCAGCAATACATATGTAATGGTAGAGATGTCTGACCCAAAGATACCATCAGAGGCAACGCTCATCAACATTCGTAACGCAAGGAAACACTTTGAGAAACTAGAGAAGGTGTCATCGAGTGCTCCCAGTCAGTACCAATGAGGCATGGACATTGAATTGAGCACATTTGCCAGTTCCCTAGTGCTAGGTGCGGAGGATCTCTTGCCGAAGCAAGATACTCATACGAAACCTGTATAGTTAGAGGTTGCATTTTTATCTACAGTCGAATTCCATAGAAATAAGAAATTATAACAAACATTTCTAGACACTTTTATCTTTATAAGACATTTATCATAGACTAATGAAAAACAGATGTTTTGTCATTGATTAATACCGAAACTTTCCTTAAAAAATCCATAGACAATAAATGTCATTGTCAGGGAGTGACGTGTGTGAATATAATTTCTCATTTCTATAAAATTCAACTAAACAATTTATTCCAATTTAAAATCTAAACTTTGTAAACAAATTATGCTAATGTTAACTTACAAAAAGTTTTTTAGGGTTGCCTTATTTAAATAAAAATGATTTGTTATTCTCGAAATATCTAAAAAATGTTATCAACAAAAATATTATTTATCGTTTTAAAAAATTATAAGCTTATTAAGCCTAAGTTAATAGTTTTTCTTCTTAATTATTACGTTGTAAAATAAATATTTCAATTACATAGAAAAAAACAACTCGTTACAAACTTAATTTAAATTTTTACACTAAAAATACCAACATTTAATTGCAACCTTGTAAAAATTTTAATAATAATAGACAAGATTTTATCATCGTACATATTCAAATAGTTATGTGGGTATTTTCTCAAATCTTTAACGGTGCTTAAAATAACTATCGTACTATTAGCTATTGGTGAACTAAATAATTTCAGATATTAAGACAACGATTCTAATAATAAAACTTATTATAATACGAGCAGCTAACAACTTCATTATGGATAAATGCAATCTTATTTCAGTCGTATGAAAGTTAAAGTGACTAATTCTCTAAACATAAGTGATATATTTATGATGTAACTAAGATAAAATATTTACTATTTGCACAATATTAATGCCCATTTCCTCTAAACGGCGGGCCGCGCGACTACAGGTTCAGCTTTCATTTTACATAACAGCGTGTACGCATCAGTGGATACAGACCCTATAAAAGCAGCCGCGCTGAGAATAAATTAAAAATAATAGTTATAGAGATATGAAATTCTGTAAAATGCTGTACAGATTCGTAATAAAGCATATTCCATGAGGATTTAGCGAACCATGTTTTTTTAATAAAAGTAACAACTTTTGGCTTTATATTCAATGTCTTATAAAAATATAGTCGTAGAATATCTGTGATTAATTTTGGTTTGTGGTTTTACTCATGAACAATAATTTAAAAAATCTTATCAATTAATTATCTATTTCTATTTATTACAGTATAAATATTATTGTTATATTTTTATTGCAATTGAATTTGTTTTAAAAAAGTGTACCTAAAATCACATTCCAAAATATAAACAATCGCCATCGTAATTTTGTACTAGCCAATAATTTTGTTTTGGTTCAAAATTGAATCTTGTAGCTTTCTTTTAATTTTTGTTACCAGTTGTCTGACAATGTTAACATATCACCCAAATATTGAAAATATAATGTAAATTTTACCGTTATTTATGTTCTAAATATAATTTATTTTGATAACGCAAAATTTGTTTTTTTTCTATTGTTTTAAATTTCCCAAACCATGACATTTCGTATTTTTAAAAACTTAGAAATACTAATAGAAAGTATATATTACTCCATGTCATTGGAATTTATAATTCAGAACTTGTCCAAAGAAGGTTACCTTTCGCAATGTTTGATTTCACAAGTACCAACGCGTTATTTAATAACATTGTTTTGGCTTTGAAACTCCTTAAATAAATCTTATTACAGACGGTGACGTAAGTAATGTTTAATGAAACCCAGCTGTCGCCCGCGACTCCTTCCGAGTGGAATTAAAAAAAACTGAATTAAAAGCCATATGTTCTTCCAGACTGTGTTGTACATCTATGCCAAATTTCTGCGAGATCCATATAACTGTTCTGTAGATACATTTAGGTTATGCAAGAACTATACTAGGTTTGTATGCTATGACGATATGATGCATAATTTCATAACTATATCTCTACCTACGTCATCGATGTTCACTACCTACACTAGTTATATTAGTTATTAGCGTCATTCACTGAATAATTTCTTTACTTCCGTCCACGTAGCGTATCACCAATGTTAGTTTTCAATAATAATTTTATCACGGTGATAAGCCAAGTGTGACAAGACAAGACACCATTATCAAGATTTACAACGATTTATCCTTTAAATGAACGTCTTTTCACGCTTTTTAAATCTACTTTTGAAGGTCAGCAATCAAAATGTTACCTAAAGAGATAAACTTGTAATACAGCTAGTTGTATAACAAAGGGTTTATTAAGCGTAGTAACGTGAATAGTGAGTTCACGTTTGTTTAACATTGCAAAAAGTCTTATGTTACATACATGATACATACGTTGTATATATTACCACGAGTAGGTAACAAATCTTTAATGTAGGTATGTACACAACAGAACATTTTGCAAATAATTTTTAAAATTAAATTTTGATGCAGTTAAAATTTTATCAATAGAATTGAAACTGTTAGTTTCGAACTTGATACGCTATACCGTTATATAAAAATTAAAATGCTATGAATAGCTGAATACTAAAATAACAAAAGGAAGCCAATTACTTATTTTTTTCTTGGTAACTCAATAAAGGACCACGTTTAGGCTGTGCTCGGAGGATAACAATGAAGACAATAGATAACATGAAATATAATAAAACAAATTCAATGAACCTATTGTATTAATTTTACGACATACATCGCTCACTCTATACGCCTTACTTTCCAAGCCCTACTAATTCGCAGCATTGGACGACCATAATCAGTGTTATGTAAATTAGTAGTGGAAACTAGCCCTTACGTATATCAACAAAGGTATGTATAATACAAACTATACGATACAGAGGTTTACAAGAAGTGCGATCGGGTATTTCCACGAACGAGTTTAGTCAGACTTTAGTACTTTTGCGTTAGTCTCGTTTTACGTTTCATTGACGAAACACGTTTCATATTTTTACATTTAAGTTGATATCAGATCGACAAATTGATAAAGATTTCGTTTTTGTCGGTTAGTGACAGACGAGTGTGTAATTGTGTCCTTGATCTTCGTAATAAAGTGAGTGTTAATATTTTAATAACTTAATTTTATAAATCGTTATTACTTTCATAGTTTTAGTTTGAAAATCAGTGTTACGAACTGCTACAATAGTAAAATTGTATTTGAAGTTATTTAATTTAGTCAACTAAAGACTCATTATGTTTTTTTAGTTTTAATAAAATAATTATTTGGGGCCTAAAATATTTAACAGTATTTATATCATAATTACCTTTAAATAGTAATATATTTTACATCATTTTTTATCTCACAGAAAATGGCACAACAAAAACCGATCTTCGATTATCATGAGGAAACACACGCTGAAAGACTTTCCCGTAAATCAAAAGAATCTCCTTTTATGGTTTTTGGTAAGTAATTCCCTTAAAACTACTTATTTTTACGTAAATTTCTATTCTTCATATCTATTTTATATCAGAAATTTTGAAGTACATCGGTACAATTTCAATGCTTAACTACTTGCCATTCACTTCGGTTTTTTAATAATCGGGAAGCAGATTGTGTAATAAAAACTGATAACTATATTCTTAAAGACAATTCAAAGCGGATTCCAAATCTTTGTAATTATGACGCAATCGTTTATGTTGGTTGCGCCGTGGAAGATATAATACGAAACTAATACCCGTAACTTCTCCCTATCTAATTTATAAAACATAGGAAAAATTGGATACAAAAATATCAATAATTACATTGTTTCGTCGTCCAAAATCTAAATATTGTTGATAACGATGATATCACTTAAACGCTGATAATAAAATAACGTCGATACGTTTTCATTCATTGGCATCCCAGTTTATTGGCAGATCGGATTTTACAGAGCTTATGTTTCAAGCACGTGATTCATTTTCCTCAACATAGTATGCAACAATATGACGCGTTGCAACGCTATTGCAATTGCTCATAAAATAGTCTTCCCCTTATTATGTAATTTATAGATATGCCACGCAAAATATAAGGAAAAATATAAACACCACGTGCATGTTTGCGTAGATGCATGAATGTTGAAAAAAAAAACAAATATTTTATTCATAACTACTCAAGCATCTGTAATTGTGTACCCCAAGCAACTTCTCTATTACGCGCCAGCCGGCCAGTGACAAACTTTCCGCAAACAAATCTTGATATTTCAATACAGCTTACAGGATTCATTCCGATATTTTGCCTAATTAGGTACTAAACGTGACGTAAGGCAAATAATTTAATTCTTTTATTTTATTATTTTGTATCTACTATATACATTGTGCGGTCTTCTAACATCTTAACTTTTTTAATTTCTCAGGTTTGGCTGGATTAGCGTCGGCAGTTGGATATGGCGTCTATTCGTTTAGAAACCGCGGCAAGATGAGTACCAGCGTTTATCTGATGCAGTTCCGTGTTATCTCGCAAGGCATCGCCGTTGGCGCCATTACTGTGGGCATGGCATACACACTTTACAACAATCACTTCAATAAGCCTAGACCTAACGCCATTACTGGGAACGTACCCAGCATAGCAACGCCTAATGAGCATTAGTACTAAATTATGGTTTTAAGTTGTGATTATTATGTAATTTATTCATTAGATAAAGTATTTCATGATACTAGCAATTAATAGTGTTACCTGATACAAAAACATGATGGGTGCCTTAAATTGAAATTTAAAAAATGTAATTTCGACATTTGATACACGTGTGTTATACAATATGTAATTTAATTTTCTTGAATTGATAAAACCGTATTGAAAAGCTGTTTTATTGCTGCCAGTGTGTTAGAATATTAAATAACCTCAAAAATGTAATATTTCAATTTGTAAAGTATTTATTATAATAAGTAATATGGCCATCATGATTTCTAATATAATTATTGTGATAAATATTTATTTTCAAAACATCTGTGATGGTAGTAGAAAATTTTAAGTTTATAACTATATAAATTATGATTTTCACAACTCCGAAGTCATACAATAATTTTTATATTTATTTTTTAATATAAAAACTTATTTATGGTTTAACATAATTGAAACACGTATTTTAGATTTAGTACAAAATAAAAATTATTACTTTTCTTGAGGGCAATCTAACATATATAAAAAAAACAAGTTTTGAAATAAAATTATATTACTGCATTACAATAACAGGGAAGAAGAAAGCTTGTAACTTTTCAACTCTATGTATGGAAGAGTCAAACAAAATAAAAATTATAGACTATTTCCAACTAGCAGAGCAGAGGAACACAAGGAAAATTGTGTGCAAATATTTAACTCACTCCTGAGCTTAAACCTCTTAAAAAAATTCTAAAGAGTATATAAAGAGAAATAGCACTATTTAAACAAACTTTAAATGATTAACTACTCTAGTTACTGCATATGAAGCATCTAATTTCTTTTTTATGTTACACAAATTTTGAAAATAACAATTCAATATAAATAACGTCCAACAATAATTTATTAAATATGTTAATATCACATCTAAAAGTATTTTTATTCAATTAAATATTTTCTTCAAACTTAATACTGGTTTATAAGACACATGACTATTTTAAAATATAATTGAAATGTTAGATTACAACTTCGAATGCCATCTAGTGATGCATTTGAAATCTACGTATTGGAAGAAGTGATCCAAACAATACATGTTGAATTACGGGAAATTTAGACAGAACTTCTTTCTTATACATTTTAATGAGGCCTTGGTTTATTTTCGACCATGAACCTACAGCACTAATGCTCCACAACTGGTTAGAATGCTCCGCAAACGGACCCGTTTTCACTTCTTTAATATACTTAATGCATGACAAGAACATGTATTCATCCGAAAATTTATCTACAATTTCATCTTCTAAGAACTTAGCCGGTGGATATATTCTTGGCTGGTCAACAAGTTGTGAACTACCCCAAATGAAAGGCACAAACTGGTAATCATCTAGACTCCAAACACCATGGCTTCCCGCTGGCTCCATTCTATATGTTTTCTGCAGTTTCCTTGCTATATTAAGATATTTATTGAATAACATAAACACAGTTGCAACATTATCTTCTGCAACGAGACAACCTATTTTGTAAAGACAGCATAGAAACATTATAAATGACATTTCATGTCCAGTTCCATAATCTATGCGAGTGGCATTCCCAAAGCTCTCCTCAAGATATGCTTTAATTTCTGGTATGGTCAGATGAAGGTTTTGATCTAGAGCTTCTTGAAGATATATTGTTGTGTTGCTCTTCACTTGTGTGAGCCATTCTCTAAATGCAGTATTGCCAAATCTTTGGGGTTGTTCAACTGGGGGACAATTGTCTATCAATTTATCAATCTTACTCAACATGTCCATAATTTTTAATAAATTTGGTGAAACCTTACAATCAACAGAGAGTGGTTTCCCTTTAATTGCTTCATTTAATGTGGCAATAAAGCCAGTGTACTCCATATACGCTTCAGACTTCTCCCATATTGTCATATCAGTAATTGTTTTGACAGCTTTCTCTGGCTCCAAAAATCTGTGATTAGGTGAAAATGGAACTGAATTCTCGTTCTTAGTTCCATCTCCAATAGGATTTTCAATATTCATCTGAAATGAAACATACAAATAACAGGGACACAGCTACATTACATGACTGATAAATGATATTATCACTTACAATAATGCATTTATTTACATTAAAATTAAAAATCTACTTTGATATATTGTTTAGAAACCTTAACCACACTCACATGCACAGGGTAAAGGCCGTATTCCTATTAGTAAAACCAATCTTACGACTATTTCGATAAGCACAACTGGTGAAGGTCACAAGTGTCAAACGCAGGTTAATGCATTGCTTGTTTTCATTCGTAAATAAGTTAGTAGTTGTGTTCAATGTATTAGATCAGGCACATTATAACAATGGAAAGAATATTGCGAGGTATTATGAGATACCGAGTGCTTGACAGAGCGAGCATGGTAAAACAATTTCAAGAAGTACGAGATAATCCAGTGGTACGTAAATCACTAACCTTGTTTTTGGTGTAATATGTGTACTTTATATTTGCATTGATATTTTATGAACTTTGGCCAATGTAGTATTTAAAACGGTCCAGACTTTTTTCCTATGCGATAATAATGCCTACAAAAGAAAGAAATCTAATTCTGTATTAGAATAATATAATCCAACATTCATACTTTTTCATTTATTGGGCAACAATGACAGTTAAATATTTAAAATTAAAAGTTCAACGCACAGACTCTGACATTACGTGTCTTACAGCCACCGTTACAGATGAGATAAAAACGTCCCTGATATTATGATTACCTTTTATTTGTATATCTAAAAAATTGTGAAAAATATAGGTATACTGTTTTATAAGAATTGTTTTTTTTTATTTAAATGTTTTATTTACACTTTAGCCTAAAGCAATTTTTTACACATGCATGGACAGCAGAATGATTCCCACAAGATTTACCGAAACCAGTGTCGGCGACATGTTTGTAGGTGTGTTGTTTTTGATTAATTAATATAATTTTCAATATTTTTAATTAAAGAATATTTATACATCTTTCCTTTGAAATAAACATTTATCGAAATATTAAAAATAGGCATTTAGAGTCTCTTAATCATGATCTTTGAACGAAGACCAAGTTAACTGTAGAATTGCCGAACATATACAAGTAACTAAAAGAAATAGCATAGAATTTATTTTGATTTATTTCTTACAGTGCGAAATGCTGGAAATCTTATTCCGCATTCTGAACATTTTGTAGATGAAATGACAAGCTGTGAACCAGCAGGATTAGAGCTAAGCTGCATCGTAAATGATATAAGGCATGTTATAGTTTGCGGGCATAGTGACTGCAAAGCAATGAATCTTTTATATAAACTTAAAAGTAAAGAAGAATCTAATATTGTTAGTAAGAAATTTTAATGTAAATAATTAAAAACCAAGACATTTTTATCGTCGTAATTGTTGTAGTATTACTGTAGGCGTAATTAAATTATTTTTTTAAAGTGCTTATTTTCCGACGCTCAATGCCTATTTTAAATGAGGATTAAAACTGTTTAATTGACCAAACCCAGGCACCTCTGCGGATATAAGACTTCTGACGATGATTGGTACTGCAATATAACCAAGAATAACTCTGTTCGCTCTTTATTTAATTTAATTTAAATTTACGATTTTTCCGCATTATTTTTCAATCTCAAAGATTACATAAGAAATATAATACTCGAAGTTTTTTCTTTGAAATTTTGGTATCTAAAATACATTTTTAATAGCATCACAATATTAACTTTTATTACTATGTAAATCACAGGAACAGCGAAGGATATCTCCCCTCAAGTCATGGCTATGTACACACGGCAAAACCAGCCTCAATAAATTTCTACAAATGAATGGTGACTTTGCGAAGCCGATGTTATTCACAGCTGAAACTCCACAACGAAAATTCGTTGCCTATATTGACCCAGAAAATAAATTTTGTATTGAAGATAAACTATCACAGGTTAGACATATTGTCGTATTTAACATTTTAAAAAAGGAATTCTGTTAAAGTATTAAAATGTAAATGTTAAGACTTCTGTAATTTACAAATACTAATGCCAATGTTTATTTCTTTATTTTAAGGTCAATACTCTACAACAGTTACAAAATGTTGCTTCATACGGCATGTTGAAGAAACGATTAGAGAAGCATGATTTACACATCCATGCACTTTGGTTTGATATATACACTGGAGATATTTTTTACTTCAGCAGACGAGCTAAAAGGTTTATTATAATAGATGAATCGACATATGAATGTATTTTGGCTGAAATCCGACGATATTATTCTTAGTGTGGTTAATCGTTAACAAACTTTACCACTTAGGTCTAACGCTAAACTTAATACATATATAAATATAATGTTCATTATGTATACATTCATTAAGAAATATGATGGTATACTACATAATAGTGATGCACTGCTTAACACCACTTTGTGTCATGGTGTTAAAACAAAACATTTAAAATCCAAAATGGGACCAAAATTTAAACTGCTTCATACATGGTGTGAGTAATTGCTATCTTAGTAACAATTTGCTATTTACTTGAAAATTTAAATGTATTATTTAACCTACATTAAAGTACGGTCTATCTCAATCCCGATCTGATCAACAAAGTAAATAATAAAACGCATATTATATCATATGTACCTACCAATTAAATAGAAATCGTTATATAAAGTGTAAATCATAATATACATAATTTTTATACACATTTTGTAAATATGTTTAAATGTGCCTACCGAAGCAAATATAATCGATGTTGTTTTTTTATCGTTTTTATATATCATCTACAGATGTTTTACTTTTTTATTAATGAATACCTAATCAAAGAGTATATAAAATACCTAATTTTAATGATGACTACCTAAATTATTTGTAATGTGGGTGATTTTTAAAAAAATGTGGTAATTAAAAATTTATATTAATCTAGAGCAAGTTTTATTGACATTTTATCACGATAAAAGACGGTTTTTAGTTAAATCAAGTTTTGTTAGTAAATTTGATTTTCTAGTATGAATGACCTTAATACCTTTGCCTAAATCACTGAAAAGTAACAAAGTCTCCTGTCAGTGTTACAGTGACAATGACTTACTAACATGGGAAAAATTTTTCAAGGTTAGGCAGGTTAGGAGTGATGCAATGTAACAACATTTTAAATTATTATATAATTTATTAATTGGTAGCCCAATAGGATAAATCTTATAAATATAAAGGTAACTATTATTATGTTATAAAGTGAAAGTGCTAATTTACACTTGTTATATTTTTTCTAATTTGGGAATGGTACTTTTTTAAGGATTTTATTCATCAGAAATGGCAAATTCCCAACCTATATTTGACTACCGCGATGAATCTCAAGCTGACAGGTTAGCCAGGAAATCTAAAGATTCACCTTTTATGATAATTGGTAAGATATTGTTTTTTTTTATTTTCAGCCTCTTTTTAAGAATTTCTTGTTTAGAAGAGTATTTAGAGTAGCTCTATATTCATTAAAAATTGTCGGTAATCATCTTCAAACAGCAGGAGGTTCTCAATTTTTCTCTATATTTTTGTTATAATCTTTAATTTACATAACATTCCATATCATACAGGTTTCAAAATAATTGTGTAGTTCTTTTCTAATATCTAGTCGGTCCAAGGTCATCGGCGAGATGCGCAATGCTCTCTCTAGCATCCTGCTACACCTAAAATTGTATTCTGCGCAGATTATTCTTGCAAAGATAAAGTACTAAAATCTATTACTGTTAGGAATATGGATTAGTTTTTACACAGAAATTGAAATTAATTTTGTATTCCAGGTATTATTGGTCTCATCGGTGTTTGTGGATTTGGGGCATATAAATTCAAGACAAAAGGTGAAATGAGCACAAGTGTGTTCCTAATGCAACTTCGAGTGGCGGCTCAAGGCACAGTTGTGTCTGCACTGACGTTGGGCTTAGCATACACATTAGCCAAGAAACATTTGTTTAAAGATGACAAAGCAGAATAATATTTTGGATTAATTTAGTAAAATTACTTAAACCAGTATAAAGCTTAACTTTGCTACCTCAAAATCTCACAATGTTTGGAACCAATAGAAATCTCAAATTATCTCATTTTATTTTTATAATTTTTTTTTTCGTAATAATTCACCTAGTTGTGTAGATGTTGATTTACTTTATTTGTAGTATTAATTGGGAGCAAAGCTCAGCTTCTGTGATCATTAGAAATGTATGTAGTTTTCTTTTGTGTCAGAGTTCTGGTTTAATTTTTGTGATATGTGTAACATATTTAATTTTAAGAATTAATTTATTTATTAAATGATTCAAGCTTTAATTTCTTTTGTTGTTTGCTTAACCTTATTTCCTTCAAAAAATAGATACCTCGGGATGATCCACAGTTCAGCACTTAACCTAAATAATAGCTTAAAAGGACTTACAGCTCTTAAATTATAACACACAAACACTTATAGAAAAACATCTTTTGTAGGAAAATGAGGATAAAATTGTTTTAATAGGGGAAGCTCACAGCCAGTCTTTTACAGTCCCATATTTAATTATTTATGACTGCTCTTTTGTTAAAAAAAAGTAGCAATGAGGTAAATATTGAAATTGAAAATGTGGATTAGTACTACTGGTAATGAAATCTCAATACCTGCCCCAATCATATTTTATAGTGAATGAGTAATAAAACAATGACATCAATAAATAATTGTAATTTATTAATAACATACATATAAATCTTGCAAGAAAACAATATTAACATATTTAAGCTACAATAATTAATTAATTTCAAAAAGTAATCTTGTATATTTATACAACGTCAACTAATCACTTTTACTACAATCAGATTGTCCTTTAGTAACTTTTAAAATATAATTTGGAATGGTCAAGTCATCTTTGTCAGAAGTGGAATGATTTCGAATGGAATTTGATGTAACCTTTACAGACGACAAGTCATCAGCGTTACTGAACAAGCCGTTCGAAGTGTTCGAACTGGAAGTGGAATTATACGTCATTGATCTAAATATTTGTACAGGTGTCGATGTCCGTGCTCTGTTGCTGGTGCAATTCCCTACGCTGTTGCCAGATTGATTGTGTTCTACTATTTTCTTCATTTCTTCAGGCATCTTAGTCTCGTATAAAGAAATAAATTCTTGGTCGGTTAAATCTTTAGAAGACGGATTTAAAAAAGTTATTTTCTTGGCAAGTTGATTGGTAAGAAATTCTTTAACAGTCATAGAATTGGACAAAGATGTTTGCTGTTGTACATTTTTGGACGGGTCACCGTCTTTCGAGCTTCGTCCTGTTGCATTGATATGTTGTAGAGCTAATATGTAATCAGCGTTTGACTGAGGGATACTACCAATTTTACTTCGAGTTTGAGGTCCACTCGAGCTGGAAGTATTTGATGACGACGAGAGGGCAAGCCGTTCTTTAGTTTTCTTGAGCGTAGAAGAAGCCCAGCCCATACCTAATTTTTGGAATGCATTTTCCAAATCTGGATTTGACGAGATGCTCAATGTATCAGAAGTCTCTATAATGTTTTTTTTGCCTTGATGTAAAGTAGTTGTCCTTTTCTTATCTTTGTGTGAATTTGTCAAAGCTAACAAAGATATTGAGGATTCTGATGTGGTACTCGTATTCACATTAGACGCTGTGTCAAATTTAAAAGGTTCGTTAATTATTTTTCTCTTTAATAATTCTGCTATAACATCCGGTAAACTATTCTCGGAATGCAACGAACTCAAGTCGTCATTCGTTAAAATTTCTTTTAAATGATCGTCCAAATTGGATGAGTCACCGTTTTCTAATTTTTTTTTCTTAGTGAATTCTTTAATACTGATAAACGGTTTTAGCATAATTTCGTTAAATTGATTCATGTCCATCATAGGTAATTTCGAATTGTCTGAAGAATCACCATTCAAATTTGTAGTTTTGGGAAGTTTTTTTGATGCACTCATCGTGGCTTTTAATGAATCTGTTTCGAGGCATTCCATTCTCGAAGTAGGAGGTGAAATATTTAAAGCGCTCTTACGTCCTTGTTCAGTATTAATATTGTCAACACTTTTGACTGAAGCATTAGATATAACATCAGCATTAATATCGTTGCGCGATTGACTTTTTACTTTTAAACTCATAGGCGAATCTACTTCCAGCACCGTCGACAATTCATGGGGAATTATATGTTCTTGTTCATTTTTGAAATAAATTCTAGATAATGCTGGCGGCGGTTTCGACTTCGGTCTATTGTGAGGATTTTCTATATTTAAACTTTCTTTGCTAGAAGCAAGTGTGGTCATAGAGTCAGTTTCAGACAGAGGACTTGAGAAGTTTACTGGTTTTGGAATATCCGAAAGTAACGGGGTAAATGTATTACTGTCCATATTATTTTCCTTCTCTTCTATCGAGGCAGAGGGTTTGTGAATCTCAGAAACAATAATGGCCGGAGATAAAGGTTTTTCTGTACATTTTTTTCTGTTTCTTTCAGCCTCCGAGTCCGAGGTAGAGTCAGATGATGTTATTTGACTATAAAATAACGACTTGTTTCGTCTTACTTCTTCTAGCACCTTGGCAAGATTTGATAAACGTTTGGTACATTTTTCAGTAAGATCTGCAATTTTTTCCATATTCTGAAGCTTACCTTCAGCAACTTTAACGAGATTGTCTTCGGAAACAAAAACATTAGTTTGTGTCGATGTGGTAGAAGGCGGGATGTGTATTTTATCATGATGTTTGTTTTTAATTGTATTTTCTGAATCTGAGGAAGGAGGAATATCAGATCTGCATCGAAGCGGCACCGAACCATTTGTAATTTTATTATCATACGCAGGTTTCTGGTCTTGTGCGCCCATCATTGTTTTATGTGGCTGTGTCGATTTTTTTTCACCTTTTTTATTACAGTTTTTAGACATTATACAATTTGGCTGATCACTGGTATCGGTTTTATAAGATGAAGATGTTGTGTTCGACTTAGAGGATTGAATTTCATGTAAATAATTTTTACATTCATTTGTTGTAGAAACCTTTTTAGAAATATTTAATGATTTAACTTTGTGTAGTTGTTTTCGTTTATGTAATTTTGTGTGCAATTTTGAATGTTTGTTTACTTGATCATTAGCACTTTTGGGGAGTTCTGCCTCGTTTATATCATCCTTAAGTTTGAGATCATTGATAATTTTCTCCTTCAGAATATTTTTAATTTGTTCTAATGATATTTTTTTCTCAACTAATGATTTGCCTTTTAGATTAAGATTGTCATTTATAATGGAACTGCTCGGTGTTGGTACAGAACTGCATTCCTCGTTTATTATTTCGATAGCTTTCATGCCCTCTTTATTAAGTTCTAATAATTTATTAACATATTCTTTAATTAAGGGATTCAATGGAGTTTTAATTTTTCTTTTCGATACATTAGTTTTGGAATATTTAACATGCTTACTCGGTACATCGCGTAATGACATTGATTTACGATGATTACAAGTTTTAGTTGCATTTGCTTCCTTTTTATGTTTGTGACAGGTTTTTGACTTGCTACACGCACAACAGATTCTTGAATAAACACTATCCGTAGTTGTTTTAGAATTTTTACAACAAGCATCACTTAATTCACCAGCACTACTTATATTATTAGATGTAAATACGTCTTCAACTTGATAATTTAATTTCTTGCTGTTAGTTACAGGTTCACTTTGATGTGTTGTTTTTTTTCTTCTCTGACCATGTTTGCATTTACAACTTTTAAAATTTTTATAAGACATAGAATTATGTGATTCCTTAATTGAATCATATGTTTCATCGTAAGACGCGTCGTAATCTCGTTTAGAGAACCTAGGCATTATAATGTCTGGAGGACTCATATAGGCAGTTGATGTTGAACTCATATGCATGAAAATTGGTTTGTGAATTGGAGAACTCGTCTGTGTGTACGTCGAAGTAGCTTTTTTAGTGATTTTGCATGAAGTTGGATTATTAGCAGATACACTATTATCTGTTTGTTCATCTTGACTGACTGATTTTGATTTCTGAGGGCTTTTTGCTGGAATTGTGTCCGTTGTTTTGGGAGATGTTACTATCAACGGACTAGTTGGTTCCTCTGTATGTGGCTTAGTAACTTGATGAACTGCATTTTCATTAACATCTACTTTTGGGGTAGGATTTGGCGTAGGAAAATTGGTATTCTTTGTATTTTTATTATCTTCTTCCTGATTTTTAGGTTTCTCTTCTTGAGCGTTGTTAATACCATTTGCATTTTCTTTTTTCCTGAGCTGTATAACTACTTCGTAAGCTTCATCTTTGAGGTAGCCTGTGGTTCCAACATAAAACTTTCCATTCTCTTGGCACACGTCGTCAATAACTTTTAGACAACCATTGTTCGCCATAGGTGCAACAGGTTCGCCAATTTTGAGAGACGTAGTTGAAGTAGCAGCTGAGGGATAGTGAATCGTTTGTCCTTCTGCATTATTCGTATTCATTGTAAATTGGCATTTACAAACAGGTCTGAAAAAGGACAAATTAAAAAAAAAAACATCTAAAGGCATAAAAACTTATTAAAATGATTTTATGTCTATTTAATAATTTTTTAAACACAAATTTTACCTTTCAGTTGTAACTGTCTCGGTCGGAACATTCCGAGAATGGACATCTAGAACAAAATATTAAAAAAATACATATATTAAAAATAATATTTACCAACTTTGTATATATCCAGAGATCTAATATGACTACTTTTATTATGTAAAAAACTCACGCATCATAAATAAGGACAAGCTCATATTTTACAGAAAGTAATACCTTGACAATGCAATCTAACACATGAACACTGACGCACTCCATCTCCCTGCTGGAGATCCTTGTCCGATGAGCTTGGGTCACAGACTTGCAATGAAGTCAAATTGTCCCTGCAAATATGAATGTTAACACATTTTAAATAACCCACTGACACAAGTTGATTTACCAAAAACCAATTAGTCAATATAAAAAAAATTACAAATATCATCTGATGACTCTAAGTAAAAGACACACACAAGTAGATATATTAAAAACCTTATGTCAATAAAAAAAAACAGCTATTCTCCTATAACTCTTAGTAAAAAACACAAGTAAAAATTAGTACAGTTTTTAAGGCTACAGGACACAGTGAAACTGATCACTAATTAAAAATACCCTACAAGTACACAATTACAACAATTATGCTAGTAATATCTTGATAATGAAAAAGTACATACATTTCTAGTATCGACTCAATATTTCTAAAATAAAAAAAACCTCATTTCTATGCAATATTGTATATGTTATTATGTGTTAATATTTACCACCATGGAAATTTTTCCCCGGGCAAATACCATTCTTCAGAATTAGATGTGTAAATACTCATTTTAGTATAAACCTGACTGGAGGAAAGCATTAGTTTTAGGAAATCTATTATACTAACTGTAGGTTTCTGAGATCAAAATTTCCATTTCAAACATATTGTTATCTCTGTTTTGTTAAAGATAATGACAATGATGATGATATGTCACACAGAGATTTTGGTCTCAGAAATCATTGGTAAATCAAATAAATGTCATGCAAACTTACCCATTTTTATTTACTGCTTTGTAGATTCCTGAAATATTTTTAAATCAATATAACACAAGATTTTAAAAATAGAAATTAAATCTCTTTCTAATGGCAATGAAATTATAAAATAATTGCAGACAAATGTTTGCTAGAATATTATAGTAAAGAAAATTTATTTATTTTTTTATTTAAAAAAACTTACCTTCAGTGAGTTGATCAAACGATGTCTTGCTTTTCATATTAGTATCGTCAGCTTTTTGCGTACATTTTTCACGAGCAACATTTTCACATTCAACGCTCTCTTTTTCACTCCTTACTTTATCATCCAATTTAGTTTTAGAGCATTTTTTCTTTTTGTCATTTTTAGAATTTAATATTTTGTAAATAATAATCCTATCAGCATCAGTTAACTTTGGCTCCAATTCTTCTAAGATATCCTTTTTATTTCTTCTGTTTAGTGCAAAATTTTCCGACGTCGTAGTATCCGATGTTATTGATGAACAATCAGTTGTCTCATCACCTAATTCCTTGATAATTGCAGTTTCAACATATCTACTTGATACTTTCGATTTGATCGGTACATCTTTAGTTGGTGGTGAATGTTTCCGACTTGATCTATATTCATGGTAGTCATTTTTGTTACTAAACTTAACAGTGTTACCATGTTTGTTTGTGACATCATCAATACTTTGTGTCTTTGATATTTCAGGCACCGGTACCCATGTGTACTGAGAATCATCATTTGAATCCTCGTTTTTATTTATCGCTGATTTTGAACTACTCTGACAACATTTGACATGCTACGGAAAGAAAAATAGTATAATGTTACTTGTTAAAACAAAGTCAAGTTTTTTAATAAGCAATTAAAATACTGAATTTGTAAAGCAACAGAATATAATTTTTATATAATTGCACAAAATAGGGTCATTTTACTGGGACTCTATACAAATTTTATATCAATCGCCCGCCACTTCGACTTCGAATTAAAAAAAAGCATAATTAGTAGCCTATGTGTTCTTCCAGACTTTATTCTATATGTATGAGTAATTTCATCAAGATTGTTCTTCAGTTCTGGAGATGCCTTCAAACAAACATCCATCCATCCATTCAAACCTTCCCATTTATAATATTAGTAAGACTGAAGTAGTTATATAATTAATGAATATATTTAACATTACCCTACACTTGTGATGTCCTCTACATTGTTTCTCTACATTTCTATATTCATCTCTTAATTTCTGTTCCCGTTTTTCCTTCAATTGTTGCTGTCGATTTTCATCCATAAATGCATTTCTCTGTAAAACAATACATTTAAAAACATAACCAAGATGTGCTCGCTAGTTTTAAAAATCATAATTATTACATTTAATTAATAATCTAATACAGTCGAGCCTGCATAAGCAAGAGTTTTCTATTTTATAGAGGTTTCCCTCTAACCGGACTTTCTTGCTTATCCAGGCACAATGGAATACTTACAATGGGTTTATCAGACATATCTTTAGGTAATGAATTCAAAAATGCTAAAGTATCTCTATATTCTTTATCAACATTGTCTTTAGTCACTGCAACTTTATTCCTTCTTTCTGCTATCTTGTTGCGGAATTCTTTTTGTTTGATATTATCATTTGTATCTTCCTTTCTTGCCTTTGTAAATGCATCATCATCAAAATGTTCCTCTCTAATTACTAAATCATCATCATTAGTGAGCATAGTTCTGCTATCCTTGGTCAGATGATTGTACATTGTCACTGAACCTTTTTGTGCGGTATCTACAGAATTCGTACTGGCACAATTATCTTTGATAATACCATTAACTGAAAGAAAAAATACATATTCTAATAAATTCTTCATAGTTGGTGTGAAATGCAGACCATATAAAATATAACACTATAATAAAATTAGAAAAAAGTATAACTTTAACATTACAAGGTCAACTTTATATAGTACAATTTTGTAATAGAAAATAAATGCTATTACCAAGTCAAGTACTAAAGTTTTAGCTACTGTGTATATATCCAGTATGTTGGCTTTACATTAGTCTAATCTAATTAATTTACAATATTGAATTTTTTCAAACTTTTACAGAACTAGTGAAACAAACCACACTTTACTTTTTAATACTTCAGTAATTACACTATATCACCTGGCTGTTTGAAGCTCCTTGAGTAGGAGTTATTAGTAGCAAATGCACTTTGTTCTAATTTGTGCATTGGAAAATATTTTTTGGGTGACCTTGCAGACATGATATTCCTATTAATAGATGAATTAATAATTGATTTGAATCTTCTGCTATTGATAGGGGGGATAGCAGATTTGACACAAGTTTTGACACAATATTTACAATTCCGCTCGTCTCTCCATGATGGAACAGAGATAGCCTGATTGTCCAGGACTTGGCACACATTGTCAGAGGGATTACCTTTCGACTTTGATGCTCTGGTTTGCATTATGGTCTGTTTAATGTTCCGCAACTCCTCATCTTGCCTCTTATTTAGTCTTGCCTCTGTTTCTCGTAGGCGGAGGTGTCTGTTTTGTATATGTTCAGAAACCAAATTTACCGCTGACTTCATTTGTTGGAACTGAGGAGTATTTACTGGACCACCTCGCAAACTAGATGGCATTTCTTCACTGAGTGCAAAAAGATTAGGTCTCTTTATTTCGAGCTTCTCTGGTACATCAACCGGTTCTCTTATAGTTTCATTCTCTGGTAACAATAGTTCTGGTATATCTGTCTGGTAACCATTAGTTGGTTCATTTAAATTTAACTGTGTTCCCATATCAACCTTTTCTATGGGTTCAAGTATGTTTCTTTGAATATTATCATTCTCTGGATCGTTATTGTCGGCTGCAAAATTGGACTCCTTTCCTGTTATTAGAGTTTTAGCAACAACATTAGATTTTTCTCTACTTAATTCATTAGCCACTTCCCTAAAAGGAAAAGAAAATCAGTTTTCATTTCAAATATTTTTTTAGTAATTTTTTAAGTTAAGATAGTAAACACCAAACATACCTAGCAAGCAGTTTTCTATCTAACAGTTCTTTTTTCTTATCTAATAGTTCTTGCTTTCTTCGTCTAACTTCAGCCACTGCTTCTTTACCCCTTAATTTTGACTTGTCAACCTTCTTCTCAAAACCTAACATGGGAGAACAATGTTAATGTTTGAATCTCCTTTTAGAATAGCTTTGATACAAATATATATATAAATAGGTACGGCCATAAACTACATGTCTAGGTATCTTCAATTATTTCACCTACTTGTATTTATATATAAACAGGGAAAACTAAGTAATAGAGCAATCTGTTACTGGATAAAGTAATATAACATAGAAATATAATATACAACATACATGCAAATGATCAAACTGGTCAAAACGCTCCTTACCTTGTTGAAGTTGTTTTGATGCATTCCTATGACCTTTGCCCACATCCTCTAAACCTTTGACATAAATTTCTTGCAATTTATCCACAAATTGCTTTTGACATTCAAGGTACTGCTTTTTTTTCTGTGCATCAACGTCTATCCCTTGCCGTAAAGTTTCTACTTTAGCACGCTGTCGAATTTTCTTAGCAATATCTTTTGATTGTTCCCGAACCTAAAAATAATGTACAAACCAAAGCTTTATTAGATTTTGTATATCTTTAGCTATTTAAATGGTATAGAGGAAAAATATAACCTGCTGTAGCCTCAACTTTCGTCGTTGTATAAATTCATTTGTTTTTACAAAATCAACCTCGGAAGTCATTTTGACGTCTACTTAAAAATAAATAAGAACTATGGTCACGTCGTACACTTCATTTCTTAAACAAGTGTGCAGTATATTTTTTATTAACTAAACAAAGAAAACAAAACAAATTAATTTCAAACTGCTTCTAATGTCAATTTCAACCGTTGTTTGTCAACTGACATTTATTACTGTCATTTAAAATACGTTTCTTTTTATGTTTGCAAAAATAAACAGGCGCCATTTCCCCATTTATTGTAATCGTCAATACCTATATTATTAATTTTTATTTACATTTTTTTATTTCTTTAAAATCATTATTATCGACAACGCTATGTTTTAATTCTAATAATTTAAAAATAACCAGGTATTGCATGTATAGTTAAAACCGACTGATAGGAATGTTATCACGAAGAAATTGTGATAAATAAAAAAATAATAATTTAAAATTGTTTATTAGATTAACATTAATGCAGGATAGTAGCATATTATCATGGACGCTCATACAAATTAGATTATTACTGACCAAACAACTTTAATCAAGCTTTAATATTATTAACCTTCGATGCTTAGAATGGTTATATAACATTGCTTAGAATAAATGTGATAGAATTACAAAAGTTTTAAAATGTCCAAATACCACACCATGCGAGTGTTATTAATCTATTGCACGTAATATTGTTTAACTATTGTATTAATAATAATATTTCAGTCAGTATTTTTATTACCTAATCCAAGACCAAGCAGTTTTTGTTTCGCAAGGTCTAGTTTAAGTACGTTGTCGGGGTCGTTAGGGTTGAGCAAGTCTAAATCGATAAGAGCTTCGTCAGAATTACGGCTTCCACCACTGCTTCCATTTTTGGTGTTGCTAACAGTCGTGTATACCAGAGCGTTGATTAATTTCATAATAATTTCTTCGACGTCGATATTACTTCTGCATGACAATCTCGAATTTTCGGTTTCATCGAGAGCTCTTGCGAGGGTAAGAAGTACGTTCAAATCGTCATAGTTGCACGATGACCAAGACCTACGGGTCAGAGATTGGGCTTCCTGCATCTAGGAACAAAAGCAAAGCTAGAGTAACAAAATTAATATTATTTTGGTGCTCATAATTTTGTCTACTGTATTAAAGGAAGTCTGAAAATAAAGGTAGACATGAAGAACACAGCTCGTACTAGAACTCCTATTACGTGGAAAGAAAAGCATCAACATTTATGCTATTGGTCTGGGATACCAGTATGATAAAGAATTTAAAAAAAAATGTGTTATTTCACAATGACTTACCCCTGATAGAAGTACAACCAAAGCAAAACTTAGTGCATATAATAACGCCATTTTAGCTCCGTTAGTAATGATGCTGCTCTTGAAATACTTCTTTTATATACATCCGACATTACGAAATACTATTCTTTAAATTACAATTTATCAAATTCAATTATAAATTTACCGCTGTTTATTAAGGGTTCAGTATTTTCTGTTCGACGCAATTAACATTTGGTTCATGCGGATCCCTCTTAGTTATTTAAAATATTAGAATAGTCACGTATTGTGTCAAACAATTCAGATAAAGTGCACCTGAGACTTTAAGCGGAATGAAATAAATAGTAACAAAGAAATCAACATTATAATTATGGATGGTTACATTAACAACTGTGACACAAAGTAAGCCAATTTACGTTATGATCATATGCCCACAGCTAAATCTTACTTTATGATAATAAAAAATAAAATATAAGTTATAAGAAATCGCTGGATAGGTTACTGCTTGGTAAAGACAGAAGACGAATTAAAAAAATATTATTGTAAACATATTTTATTCTTAACAATTTTTTATATAGTAATTACATGAAAACTTAAAATCGAAAAAAAAACATAATTCTAAATCTTCCAAAACTATTCACCATCTATGTATGAATAATTTACAGAATACTTAATAGATCAGTAGAACCAAGCTCCACGCTGATTAAATCTTTTCCGTTGGTTGAGCATTTATTTTTCGTAGCGACTAGAATCAGCGCATCGATTAATTTGGTAATGATATCATCAGTGTTAAATCGCTCAGTTCTTTCTCCTTCGATTTTGTTCATGAGAGATGCTAGTTGAAGCAACGTGTTCACATCCGCTGGAGTAGAAACAGACGAAGCCGGGTCCAAAGACACGTATTGTGGATAACGCAAACATTGACCTAAAGCCACCTGTAAATAAAAAAAAGAAATTAATAATTGTACATGCAATAAGCAGAAAATTAAAGAATAATTTAAAAACGTACACCCAAAAATGCCCCAACGAACAAAACTACCATAAATAATCGACTCATGGTTCTAAACTTTAATTTTCAATAAACGACAGGCGTTTTTATAGATTAAAATAATTGCTAAATATTTCTATTACTTAATTTTACGAGCTTGTATAACCCTATTACAAATCATAGAATATTAGTTATATGGTTTTAATAATCAACATTATTTTAATCATTCTTATTTAACAATATAGACGCACTTATTCTTGCTGGGATAGTACGAGCATCACCATTTATGGAAAAGAAAATCACTGGAACTGGTTGGCAATTACTTCTATGCTAATTCTTTCTTTATCAAATATCTAAAACAGATATACTTGGCGAAGAATTTAATTTGGAAGTCGAATGGTTAATCAGGAATGTAAAAAAAACTTAAAGGTTTATTATTAATATCTTTATGAGACAAATATTTAAATTAATAGTCACGTACTTATCATGAAATTGAAGTTTAATTAATATAAAACCATTGTAAACAATAAACTCTAGAAAATGATAAGTGACTATGTTGTCACTTTTTTCCTATAGATAAATTATGTCTTCTTGTCTTTGACCTAATTCAAATATGTTATTGTTTACTACTAACTGCACAGAATTTGCACGACCAACATGAATTTATTAATTTTCAAGACATCGGTTCCTTTTAATAAACACCATTCTACTAAAATATACCTAAAATATGGACACCGGTCCGAAGCAGAGGAGAAAAATAAACCCTAGATATAAAGCGAATCTATTTTCAGTGCTAACTTTCGGGTAGGTCCTAACATACGAATATAAATTCATAATCTAAGTATCTTACGGTTACACACGTGATTATTGGACAGGCAATGAATAATGTTATCACAGGTTGCTGCGAATATTAAGTACTAACTGTCGCCCGTGTCTCTGTCTGGGAATGAAAGAAAAGTTAATCAGTAGCCTATATGTTTACCAAGATCCGCTAAGCCGTTCTAGAGATACCTTTTCACAAACATCCATCTATCTAAACTTTCGAATTTATATTAGTAAGAGTAAGATCTCCATTGTTTTAGATGGACTCTAGAAACATTCAAACTTGGATACAGTCGAGATATCCGAGATAATGATTTATATGCGCCTTTACCTGAGCATCAATCGGATATTTTAGGTGCGTATATTGAAATATTTATTTGTAAAGTGTTTTCCCAAAATCATTAAATTATTTTACAGGTGATGCGATGCAAAAGGCCTGGGATCGTGAACTTGAGAACTTTCGCGAAGGTGGTGAAAACATCAAACCTAGTCTATGGAGAGTGCTGACGAAGGTGTTCGGCGCGGAACTTATGCTGTATGGATTGATATTGGCAGCTATGGAATTTTTAATTAGGTATATTCAGCATATTTTGCGATGGTAGTCAGAGCAAACATTAAAAACATACTTGGTTGCAAATAACTACATATTACGTGTTAGGTGATTCTTAAATATTTTTTTTTAATTTTTTGACGAATAATTAAACAACAAATAATTAAAAAACAAAAAACAAAGTTCATATTGCATTCCTGGAATTTTATGTAATTTGTATACCTACATTAATATGTTACGTTTTTGAAATATTTCATATTGTTTTGTTCTGTAATAGATTACAACAGCCGCTGTTTCTGGGCCTATTACTGCGTTATTACAGTCCAGCTCAAGATTTATACAATAGCACGTAAGCAGCATAAACAATTTGAAGCAATTTTATGTAATTTCGTAATAATATTGTTTATATTTATTTTTAAATCTACCTTTAAAGCAAATGGTGAATTATGTGTGTTAAATAAAAACACTGCCATAAATAAAAACTGGTGCAAAAATGTCTAAAAAAAAATTATCAAACATTTGGATAAAGCTATATAGAGTGCTACAATTGAATAACAATTCAGTGCTTAAAATTTTGATCCTTTTTAAGTTACTTTTATTTATTTTTTGTAGAAACAAAGACTCTGAATTCAACTATGAAATAATAGTAGTCAGCAATGAAATGTAAGATAAATATTTGCAGAGTGGATTCAACATATTTCTCCCGGTTGTTCTCGTACTATGACAAGGAGAGCGGCGTGCTGTGGGGTGAGGCGGTGTTCTTTGCCTTCGGTGTGGTCTTTTGTAGCACCGCTAATGTCATGGTCGCCCATCCTTTCATGATGGGTGTCACACATCTCGGCATGAAAATGAGAGTCGGTGTGTGTAGTCTTATTTATAGAAAGGTATGACACTGTTTTAATGGAATTCCTTTGTTTGTAGTCTTTTGTGGTCATCAAAATTTAGTATTGATTTCTTATTTGAACATCAAACCCAAACGTTAAGCAAGAAGAAATACCTTGGGGTCTAATATGTGTTATATAGTTATATCTGATTCTTCTTATCTTGGCTCTGTAGATGTCGCAAACTTCTTAATTGAATTGTCCTCTATTTAATTTCAGTCTTTAAAAGTGAGTCTGCAATCAATGTCAGAGAACAGCGCGGGTCTTGTTGTCAACCTCATGGCGAACGACGTCAACAGATTTGACACCGGTCCCTCTTTTATTCATTATCTTTGGATAGGTCCAGTTGAAACAATGGTGATATACAATTTAGTTATTCATTGTTTGTTATTTTTTTTTCGCGAGAGCGATTTCTACTTAATATCATAGTGCAGTTATAACGTTGCCAAGGTCAGAAAGGAACTTTTTGGCATATTATCTAGTCTTTGCTGCCAGTAATTACTGTTCTATTTTTGTATTTAAAACCGCGCCAATTTCATTTTACAGCATTTTAGTTAAATTAGTCAATTTTTCAATATTCCAGCTAATGACAGTGTACCTGTATAGAGAAATGGGAATATCAGCGGTATATGGGGCTCTCATTGTAATTGCAGTCGTGCCTTTTCAAAGTGAGATACTAATTTGTCGTACTAACAGTAGTAGAGCCAACAACATCACGAATGGTCCGTCTCGGCCGGTGTATTAAATGTACGCACTGAAGGCCTAATATTAGTCCTATTCACCTTTCTTCCTTTTTATTATAAGGAATGGGACCGTAACGGAGAAAAGGGAACGACTAGGGAATATCCCCTTTCTGTGGATTCCCTCCCCTGTCCATCAAAGACATGCAAAGCATCTGCAAATGCGGATTTCTATGAATAGCGGTCACTTTGTTATTTTTGGCGCATTCAGGTGGCCGCTTACTCGTTTGCCACCTTATACCATAAAAAAGCTTTGATAATATTTTTTTTATTCAAGTGGTCGTCACACTGCCGTAATTCATAATTCATATTGTGAGCACAATTAGCTATGAAAATTGAATATCAATCTAATAAACATTTCAGTATGTCTCGGAGTTGCAACTGCATATTACAGAAACGAGACAGCTTTCAAATCTGACGAAAGAGTTAAATTAATGAAAGAAATTGTAATGGGAATCGAAGTGATAAAAATGTACACGTGGGAAATGCCTTTTAGAAAGATAATAGACACCGTTAGACGGTATGTTACTTTCTTATACACGCAAAAATATACTAACTACTTGAAATAAATAACTCTGTTGTGTCACTAGTTGAACCGTTTAACTTTGAAATATAACGAAATCTAGACTATTATCGATCGCAGCATTGATTATATACGTGTACGAGGAAGTTCTATAGTTATGCTTACAACACATTGTTTCAATATAGCCAAGAAATCCGCTGCATCAAAATGACGTCATACATTCGCGGTCTGATAATGTCCTTCATCATGTTCACCGCGCGGTTCAGCATCTTCGTCACGGTGCTTCTTTACGTCACATATGTGAACCGCATCACTGTTGAGAACGTGTTCTTCCTCACCTGCTACTACAACATTATGAGACAAACAATGACATTATTCTTCCCTCAAGCTGTCGGACAAGTAAGAATAACAAAGTTAAAAAATGTTTGGAATAGAAAATTAGGAATTAGTTAGAACGGCCCAGAAAAGTATGAACAATACAAGACTCTTGTTCGCTATGAAAAGACTAACCGTGAGGTTCCATTGCGCAAAATGTCTGTACCGAAACGTATTGTTGTCCTTCTCATTATTTTTCAAAAGTAGAGACAACAGTAATTCTTAGTAAAAGTTTTAAGACTTGCGGTAAAATTTTCGATTGCAGATAGCTGAAATGCATGTTGCAATACAGAGGATTAGAGATTTCTTATTGAGCGAGGAGTGTGACCTTCCACCTCGCGAACAACTAGTCGCCGACACAACCACACAAGATAAGAAACCCAAGAAAAGAGTTACCATTTCAAGTATTTAATTTAAAAATAAATATTACCGAATAGGTAGTGATGACATTAAGCATAACTTTTTATTTCTAGTTGATCCAGTAGAAATAAAAAGAAGATATTCACCTGTGAGACATCTACCGGAACCTAGTACTTCTAAAGGAGTTCCAAAAGATAAAAGTATCGCGTTTTTTCACTACTCTCTATAACATTACGTTTTTTTACATTTCTATTCATAACTTTCGTAATAGTACAATCAGTTATCATTTTTTTTTCATACTAAAATAAATATTTATAATATGTGTACCTACCTAAATATTAAATTGAAATCATTAAACAGGCGAACATTCGATAAAGGAAGAAATTATAATTAAATTTGAAAACGCGTTTAGCCGTTGGATTAAATCATCTAATGAAGAAGATGTTGAAGATATTTCTTTTAATGTAAGCAACAGAAAAATTAAAACAAAACAAACAAAACATTGTGCATAATTTGTGCAAAAGATTGTGCATTCTTGCTTCACTCTTGCGTAGATCATGTCGGGATCACTGACAACTATAATAGGCGCGGTTGGTTCCGGCAAGTCAACGCTATTACACATGATGCTGAGCGAACTGCCAACCTCGCGAGGCAGTGTTCATGTCAATGGCACCCTCAGTTACGCCTGCCAGGATCCCTGGCTCTTTGTAGGTAAGTTAATATTAAATACTGCGTTTAGAAAAATACAATGCGGATAAAAGGCATCCCAGTATCTTTGTCTAGTTTTCATTATTACAACGAAACGCAAATTCAAATTATTTTCAATCAAAAAATATAATTGATTGTATGTACTAACGTTAGAGTACTACTGATCTTAATCTAGACTAGTCTTTTGGTCTACTGCTCGTCTTCTAAGATTAATGTCATGATTCTGCAAGAAGCGTAGGTAAAATATCATCTTTTCAATTAAAAATAATTGCACTTTCCTATAGGTTCTGTACGTCAAAACATTCTATTCGGTCAGCCGTTCCAAAAATCCCGATACATGGAGGTTTGTAAAGTGTGCGCGTTAGAGAGGGACATATCACTCTTTCCTCACGGTGACAAAACTGTGGTCGGAGAACGAGGAGTGTCACTAAGTGGTGGACAAAGAGCTAGGATAAATTTAGCTAGAGCTGTTTACAAAGAGGTACTTAAAATCATAAATGTAGAACACGCGTGTTACAAGATTCTTGAAAACTAGGATTTAGTTTATTTCCAGGCTGATATATATCTGTTAGACGATCCATTATCTGCAGTGGATACACAAGTTGCGAGGCATATTTTTGAAAAATGCATTAAAAGGTAAACCTACTGAGTGCAAAATTTTAAATTAATATTATTCAATGCTTTCAAAATGGCTTATTCTTAGGTATCTGGCAAGTAAAACGGTCGTACTGGTCACGCATCAAATACAATTCATAAAATCTGTCGATCAAATTATAATAATGGATAAAGGCAAGATACTCGCGGAAGGTGGTTTTGAAGATTTGAACGTAATTATCTTATGTAGAAACATATAACTTGTTTTACATTTCTAAGTAACATACATTCCCTCCACAAGACCTGATAGGTGTTTTACAATAAATCTTAAACATAATTTAGGAACAGGAACTGGCCATAATTCAGCTAATGCAAGATAAGACGCGCGAGGTGCGGGAGGACGATTCTGTGCCGAACCTAACCAGCCAGTCCATGCTGCAGGCGAGCGCGGTCAGCTTGTCGAGACGAAACTGGTCCATCATCCTGGATACTAGCGTTGCTGTTAGTAATACTAGTATACTATTAAATATAATCCTATTTCACGAAGAAGGAAATGTTCGAATATCCCTAGGCCATTAAATTACCTTTGGCATTATAACATCCAATTAACAAAAATGTATTTCTAGGTTATAGCTTCTACAAAGGGAAACCAAAGACGAAACCATGATAATATCAATAACCTTAAAATTTCTATACATTTCCAGGATCAAAAGCCAGAAGCGGAGGCACAAGCTATAGGACGCGTCCGCAGTTCGGTTTATCAAGAATACTTTTTAGCCGGCACTACTTACTTTTATGTTTTCATCGCTGGCATATTGTTTCTTTTAGCGCAGTTTTTTGCAAGTGCTAGTGACTTCTGGATTAGTAAATGGTAAGAATATTGTTTAGTCCAGAGGTAAAAAGGATTTTTTAATAACTGTATCTTATGTGCAGGAGTCAAATCGAAGACCATCTAACGGGGGACTCGTCTATCGATCAGTTGTTATGGTCTCAAGGCGGCTTGTACCGTAGACACTACGTCATCATCTTTGGCATTCTCACCATAGCTACCGTGGCTGTAGCCCTCTGTCGAGCCTTCATGTTCTTCTCGCTTTGCATGAAGTCTTCTATAAAGTTAGTATTAGTCTTTTACCATAGAAACAATTCGCCAAAAGGCTAGGTCAGACAGAATTCCACGGCCGAAAAGTTCTCTAAATTCTAGTCAAATTTTCTTTATTGCTTTTCCAGATTTTACCTCTATAATTTTAAGCTTAAGCTCAGCAATTAATTACGGTTTCCATAATTAAATAAACTTTACAGGTTACACGACCAAATGTTTGACTGTGTGTCACAATCTCCAATGAGCTTCTTCCACTCAAATCCATCGGGTAGAATTTTGAATCGTTTCAGCAAAGACATGGGGTCCATAGACGAACTACTACCACAAGCTATGCTCGATTGTTTTCAAGTAAAGTAGCAGATTATTAAGAAACGCAATGCATTACAATTATATTTTAAGCCACAATATTTTTTGATGTAGAACATGAGTTGATTTATCTTGTGTTTTATTGACTACTCTAATTTCCAGATAATACTGAACCTGGCCGGTGTAATAGTAGTTATTTTGATGACTGATATAACAATGTTAATACCTATTACGACGTCATTGATTATTTTCTATATATTTCGTATCATATACGTTCGTACGACCAGCGCTATAAAACGTCTAGAAGGAATCAGTAAGTACTCTGAAGAATAAGAATGGACCCATTTATGATATACAATACCCTTCATGCTTCAACAAAGATTGGCCTCTGCAATTAATCATAACATCCTAGGCCTAAATTATCACTTCGGTAACACAAAGATTGACTAATAATATTATATATTAATTTATTGATCTTACCTATGGACACAACAAAAAAACTACAGGCAGATTCGTTCACTAGCCCGTAGTCCCGTGTTCGGACACGTGAACGCGACCGTGTTGGGCCTGGCGACGATACGTTCGTTCGGCGCGGAGGGTCTGTTGACGCAGGAGTTCGACCATCACCAAGACTTGCACAGCGCCGCTTGGTACCTCTTCATCACCTGCAGCCGCGCCTTCGGATACTTTCTCGACATCATCTGTCTCTTGTTCATCGTCTGTGTCACGTTTAGCTGCTTGATGAAAACTGGTAAAATATATGAGTCTATTAAAGACATATATAAATTTAAAACTTTGTAATGTGTACTATTACGATTTGTAATATCTTACTTTTAGATAACGAAGGTAGCAACGTTGGTCTTGTGATAACTCAGTCTATATCACTGACGGGCGTGTTCCAGTGGGGAATGCGCCAGTCCGCAGAGATGGAGAACCAAATGACGAGCGTCGAAAGAGTTCTCGAATACACGAAGCTTCCGCAAGAGGCCGCTTTGAGAAGTGTTAGTCATTTACTACTCATATAACGTTCAGTTTAAGTAAAATACAAAGTTGTAAAATGTAAATATATTTTTATTTTATGGTGTGTGTGAAACACATTTTCATAACCAGGATCCAGAAAAAGCGCCGCCCGCGGACTGGCCTCCAGAGGGAGCGATAACCTTTGACAATTTAAGTTTAAAATATACTCCCGATGGTAATTACGTACTTCATAAACTGCAATTCAACGTACAACCTCAGGAAAAGGTAACTAATGTTGTATAATTTCATTCGCATTGTAAATATATTTTAATTACCCACTGTAATGTTATCTACATCCTATTCCGTCTACCTAACATTACGCCTACCGTCTAACATAGACATAAGGTGGCTAATAAAGACCCTCAGCGTACTAAACAAAGGTTTAAGAAATCAGTTAAATCGACTGAGGGCGACTAAAGCAATTACTTAAATAAAAAGTGTTTAATTAGTGTAAGTGTTGCTTACAGATAGGCATAGTTGGTAGAACTGGAGCAGGCAAATCTTCCATTATTCAAGCGCTGTTCAGACTGGCGTATTTAGACGGCACTATTATAATAGATGGTGTAGACATATCCACAATCGGTCTACACGATTTAAGAGAAAAAATATCTATTATACCACAGGTAAAATAAACGATACATAAAGTTAATTTAACCTTGAGATTTTAAATCGCATAAATTTTTAATTTTATAGGAACCAGTATTATTTAGCGGAACTATGAGGAAAAATCTAGATCCTTTCGACGAGTTCTCAGATGAGACCCTGTTAAAAGCTCTCAATAATGTTGAGCTTCTTAAAGCTGAAGAAGGCGTTGGTATAGTTGTTATTTTATAAAACGAATATTTCACGCTTTCCCTACGCGTTCCATCCTTTTAAGTAGCCTAGTTTCTAGGAGACGGCGTCATGCCATGCATCTGACATTTACACACCACGTATAGATAAGGAACATGCTCTATGATAAGCCTTAAGTACCTGACACATCATTCCGAAACTACAGCAGTCATAGAATGCAAATTAAGACTATTTTTGGAATATTGCGTTTTAGTACTGTGACAAATGTATACCATTCCAGAGGCACTATATAAGGAAGTGTCAGAGAGCGGATGCAACTTCAGCGTGGGAGAGCGGCAGCTGGTGTGCCTGGCGCGGGCCATCGTGCGCGACGAGCGCGTGCTGCTGCTGGACGAGGCCACCGCCAACGTGGACGCGCAGACAGACGCCCTCATACAGACCGCCATCCGCCTGCACTTCCAGCGCTGCACCGTGCTCACCATCGCGCACAGGCTCAACACCGTCATTGACTCTGATAAAGTTACTATCTACGTCATCAGAGGGTCAATAACGAATATTTGCGATATACGTTTTCCTAACGTCATTTTCTCGATACCGTGACTTCTACAGCGCAGAAAAAATAGCCTATTTTAAATGCCAGCTTATCAGCTACCTTCCCTTAATTTTATTTTTTATATATGTAGTAACTATTATACATTTTGATACAGATATTAGTATTAGACGCCGGTCGCCTCATGGAATACGAGCACCCGCACGTGCTGCTACAGAACAAGAAGGGATACTTCCGCAAAATGGTCGCAGAGACCGGACCCGCCATGGCGGCCATGTTGCATAAACTGGCTAAAGAGGTAACAGACTGAACGCTATTGGAAAATTCAATATTTGTATTTCCAATAGCGTTCAGAGATTGGAGCATCAGTAGCCTACCCATTAGGTCGAGGTTACGGACAAACATTTTAATTAATTTACATTTTTATTTACATTTGACTTAATAATTTTCAGAGTTACTTGAATATATCGAGAGAGGAATGAAGAGAAAATGCTTTTTATAACAAATACTTTAATATCTTATACCTAACATTATGATTTATTGATTCATTATCGTATTTTAAATATAATATTTTTAAATAAATACGAATTTATATTTACTATTAGATTACAGACTAGTTAAATAAGAAATAGTGTTAGACATGGATTTCGTAAGTACACACTAAACAGTCTCCATGTTGCAGTTCAGGCTGGTCAGTTGTAGCTCCATCCTTTTTTTGAATCCTTGAATAATATTATCCAATCTCCTAAAAAATATGTTTCGGATTAATTCATACAAAATATTGTAAATTATATTAATTCTAGTGACAATTTTTTTACTTTTTTTACACTCACTTTTTGTCTTCTTCGTTGTCCAAAGGAGGCAAGCCGGCGAGAGCCTCCATTAAATAGTTTCTGCAAATATCAATATTGTTTATTATTAATACATTAACAGCAAAAGGTACAAAAAATTTTAACGTTACAATAAACTAAAAAATAAATAAACAAACACATTGAGTAAGTCGCATAAATTACTCATATTCTATGACTGAACTAACATGAATTATTTCATAGTTACACTATAAAAAAAGAAAACAAAATGATACAACACAGAATAGTTGTGAACATGTGTGCAACTAACTCCGCCTTCCTGGTGAGATGGTCGGCGACGGCGAGACGCAGCAGAGAGTACTCGAGGCGCGCCTGGAAAGCGGCGGCGCGGCTCCGGGCGGGCGCGCACGCTGCCAGCCGCGCCAGCTCCTCGCACACAGTCTCGCAGATGTCGCGCACGTAGCGGGACGACGCCGCGCCGCACACGCTGTCCACCTAAATTATAACCCTTTTCTATAATACTCTGAATATAAGTAATCTAAGAATGTTTATATACACCGAAAATATGTCACATTTCGTGATGTTGCTGATAACGCAAAAACAATTTTTAAAATTGTTTGTCTGTCTATCCGCAAGGCCGCGTTTGCAGTCGATGTAGTCACGGGCGACCGCTAGCGTAAAATAAAAATTTAAGTCTTGAATACGCTCAGTAACACTTTAAACTACAACAATGAACTTGTGTAAGTCACTTAGCGACAAATCGCCAGATTTCGAAGATTTACGTAGCCAATAAATACCCAAGTATTAAAGACATTAAATAATGCAGTGTAGTAAGCGAAATGTTTCACATCAATTTCTTTTACTTGAGACAGTCGTAAGATATGCGAGAATATTTAGGCTTAAACAGCCGTTCAAAAATTGCCATAGCGGTCGGTATTTCACGACCACAAGGCGGGGTATTGGTAAAGTTTTCAACTAGCAATAATCGCACCTCGGATTAACCTCATTG